GTGGCAGAGAAGACCTGTGAGGACGGAGCTTGATATCGGAAGCGAATTGCGGTTTTTAGCGGGGAAAAATGCGGCTTATATAGCCCCTTGAGAATGGGCGTGGCCAAAGGGATGTCCAGGAAGGGAATGATGAGAATGAGAAGTCAGAGCCAGAGAGTCGGGGATTATTACGACCATGAACACGTGACAGGATTCTTGGGCCATTGCCAACAACAAAAACATAGGCAAGGATGTCGGCCTTTTCGAAAGCCCTTTCACCTGCTGTCCGGGAGATTCGTGTCCTATTTTGCCAGACGTCGCCAGCCTCTGCTGGCACAAGGTGCTGCACCCGATCTCATGGCAATGATTGTACGAACTCACGACCTCCCGGATTTAGAGACTTCATTCTGTCGGCTTACCCAACGTTGAAGAAGGCAAACCCGGATTTACCAATACTGATCCGAGAGGCCAGAGGGACGCCTGCTAGAGTTTTTGCACGATTTGGTGAGGTTACGGACCCGCTCGCTTTCATCCTACGATTGACCCGTCTGTCTTATGATCCCAGAGCGCGGCATGGAGAAACACATTGAATTAGATGATCTTAAAGTGTCTGATGTCCAGTCGAAAGTCGCAACGTTGTTGTCATTATAGTATCAGGAATTAGCTTTTGTATGGGTGGTGACGGCCATTGCGAACTCTCAGATGCTAGATGGCTCTCATTTGGTCAGGATATCAGTGGTAAACATGTTCCTCTCCAACTGGCCCATGCAGTGCCGCCACTTTAGCGGAACGGTTCCTTGAAACCCAATGGGGGGCCATGCTCACCTCGACCTCCAAGTTCTTTAAAACAGTATTGACGACATCGGCCTTGATGAGGAGATGCGTATCGTCAAGATCCTGGACAATGAAGTGATTTTCAGGATTTGTTGACGCGTTCATGTGAACTAAAATCTGTTTGACTGCTGGATCACCGCTGTGAACACAAGCCATTGAGTGATGGCAGCCTATTGAGATTCAGAGCCCCGCCGCACCATGACACAATCACTCCTGAGCAGGGGGAAGGTGGACCGGAATGTTAGGATCGATATTGCCAGAGTCCTTGCACTCGCCTTTCATGGCCCTCATTTCGATGCCGGAAGCAAATTTTGTCTTTGCAGCCAGCCAACTTGAAGCGACGTTCGTTCTCACTTACACCTCGTTCGACGCCCTCTCGCCATGACCGAAAAGGTTGCCATTCGCGGGGCAGATGAGCGCACGTCCATAGACCTCCAAAATAGACTTCCTTCCTTCGATGAAGTACATTTATACTGTCGTGATGACCGTGTTGACAATCATTTGCTGATGCAATAATGTCAATAGGTCCTGTTCCGTAAGACACGTCCCCCTGTCGATTTGTTCATGTTCTAGTGAGTTGCTTACGAGAAAAAATGTGGAATGTCGTGGTGATGCTTAACATCTTACTCGGGGCAAGTCTGTTTCTTCAACACGAAAGCGCTGAAGATGTCCTCGACTTTTGGCTCGATGTCCATCAACATGAAAACCTTTGCCGCGCGTATTTCAAGGACGTCCGCAAATCAGGTCGCACGATCAGAGAGGATTGGCCGCAGTATTATGAGTACGCTCGGAGACGGGGTTCTATCTATGGTACTGTTGCCACGACTAAGAGGGATACTGGCTCCGCTGGCGATCTGGAGAAAGCGGCTGAAGCAAACCGCGACTATACGCGCTCCGTCTCGCCTCGTCCGCCTACTTCCACGAGTGCAACTCATAACCCTAACCCCCCCACCACACAAACGCGCAAGTCGACTGAAGGACACGTTCAGCTCGCTGTGGCAGAAGACGGCACTCAGCCCAAGCGGAGCGGAACCTCATTCTCAGCACGTCGCCTTTCCCTCGGCAGATCATTCAGCAAGCGTGCCTCCCGGGCCCCGACCATTATTCCTCGAGACTCAGCTATCACGCGCACTGACCTCATCGCTTCCGCTGAGCGTATTTACCTTCGCTACCTGGCTCCTGGCGCGCCAAAAGAAATCTACCTTCCTGCTGCTCTTCGCATTCACAACTTCCCTCTCTCGTCCGCTTCACTTCCTCAGCCCGCTTTACCTGAGTACGAGATTGAGAGTAGCGCACTCGCTCAGGTTCCAGACATGTTCCATCAGCAAAAGGAGTATGTTTTCCGAGCGATGGAACAAGACGCATTCCCCAGGTTTTTACGGGCAAAAGCTTTTGGAAACCTGACACCTGTTGGAGCACTTGTTCGGCTCTGTGTGGGTTTACTTGTCCTTTGGGTGGGTCTCGCCACCGCCTTTTCCCTCATTTTTTTGGACGTGAAGCCAAAGTCAAAGCGATTTTTTGTGGGTACTTTTCCTGATTTTATGACTCCTATGCCATTATTTACATCTGTTGCATACAGCTTTTTATTCCGTTTGCACTTGCCGTCCTTTTCTTAGTTTCCCATCAATATGAACTTGACCCTATCCTCGTCTTCCTTGGTCAATCTGAAACAACCCCATTCCGCGCCATCCGCATTCGTGAACCCTATGTCAACAAGCTGCTCCTGGGTCGTGCGCTTTGGGTCATGTTTTTGGTGCTGCTTGGTGTTGTGGTGTTGACGATGCTCTTCTGGGCTGTACCTGGACATCGGCTATGAATGTGGTATAGTAGCGCGGTATTGCATCATCGGAACGTTGCTTTTCAACGCTTGGATACCCTGTGGAGATGGTGGAGACGTCTCCCGCATTGCCAATTTATTTGATTAAGATAATGGAGGCCACAGTGGCTGCTTTTTTCTATCAATCGTTTACTTATCCCGGCAAGCGACACCCCTGTTTTTCTTATTTTCCACTCCCTTCGACCCTGTTCACTGCTTTCAGCTATGTATCGATCTATAACCACTGTGAGGGTTTGGTAGATGGCTTATGTAAGCGGCAACAATGGCGAACCTCATCCGCTCAGCAAAATCCGGTAGCGATTGGACGCAAGGTGATCTTGATGCATATAACATCTACGTGACACCCCAGGATACCGCTACTTTCTTCGGCATACTTGTTCTTCCAGAGCCTCGAGTCCCAGAGGAGATTCTCAACGTTCATGAGGCCGATGACATGATGAACGATGAGAATGCCAGGCTCATCGATCTTCTCGATGTCGCCATGCTTCCTCCTGCCCGTGAAAGTGAAGAGTCCGCTGTAGATGATTTTATGGTTGAACTGTTTAGACTTCTTGGCTACGTTGGTCGTCGCAGATACGCTCGTACCCGCAAGGATCTCTTTCTTCCCATCTGCGGTGAAATTAGACATGCCAAGACAGACGTCTGCATTGTCGATCGTTTACGCAACCATATACTTCTCCTTGTCCAAGAAGACAAACGTCATGGGGAGCATTCCTCTTTCGCTGACACAGAGGCACGACTCATTGTCGAAGGCATCGCTGCATTTGTGTACAATAACGAGGCTAGGAGAGCCAGTGGCTTACCTGAGCTCCAAGAGAAGGTAAACTCCAGCTTCCACCATTTCCCATGCACACTAATCACTTGTAGATCATGGCTGGCATCATTATGGTGGGCACTACCCCGACGTTCTATAAGGTTCCCGTCACTGCGGACCTGGTTTTCAATCTTCGCCATGGTCGGTTTCCCACCCAGCGCACTGAAGTTTCAGTTTGTTTTGCGCCCGTTGCGAGACAGCACCGTCGTTGGAGTGAAGGCATGAAACCATTGGACAACAGACGTACTATTCTTAGTTGTTACGAAGCTTTCAAGGCGATCGCAGAAATTAACGATTAGCTATATAGTACAGTCAACCTGCGTGATAACAGACAATTCATCTAGCACAGTATGAATAACGACATATCGTGCTTTTTGGGTTTGCGCACGCATGTGAAACCAGCGAATGCCCGCGAAGAAACGAGCCATCTTCCCAAGGCTCAATACTGTTACAATGCAAGGTCCTGCGGGATTCACATATGAATATTTAAATCCGGAAGGTTATCACTGTTATGCTTTAGCGAGTACGAAACAATACCGTGCACGCAGCGGTGCCAAAAAAGCGTGAAATAAATAAGAATGTAATAATTATCGATTGGCCGTTGAAGTATTGAGCTTGTGAACTTCATAGAACCTTGCACGCGTCTCATCCTTGCGTTTGTCTTTAGCCTGTTTGTAAGGAATCCTTCCAGCCGCTGCCCTAGATTCATATTGCTGTTGAACGAAGAAATCAGTCGATCAGGAACCAAAGACCCAGTGAGTCCCATGGCTCTTGTGGCTGAGACTATACGTACCGCCTTCTCAGCTTCACTGAGATGTCTCCATTCTTGGCCAATTTCGGCTAGGTACTGGCTGGCCCTCTCACCAGGTTTTCTTTTCCTCACTATTGCCTCCTTCGAGTAGATGTTGTAGGCAGAGGGTGCGCGTTTGAGAGGTTTCCCAGATTGATCCTTAGGTCGAGCCTTTATGTGACGTTTGCGTACAGCGGCACGATACTGTCGAAGCCCCCGGGGAGATAGGCTCTTTATCCACGCATCCCTTTCGAGAATATGCCTCTCACGCTCCTGAGCGAATTCGCGTTCATAAGGCTAAGACACGCAATGGTTATGAGCAAACGTAGATGAGCCATGACGACACTTAATGAACGCACGAGCTTTTCTGCAGGGCTCAGGCTCCGCCATCTTTGCGCGGTCTCTCTAATAAATTCAATGTTTCCCTCGATACTATTTTGCCTCGGTGCATCCTTTTGTAGGTCCCCAAGGAAGCGTACGTATGGCGTCAAGGGCCTCTTGGGCGGCTTTGTATACTCCCTGACTGCAACATATGAAAAGGAATTAGCGACATCGATATCATGAACGAACGACCCACCAATCTTTGGCTTCTTGCCTACTTTTGAAGCAAATGTTCTTCAGTAAGCCTTCTACATGAACGAACAATCTACCACCGATTCTTCAACGCACCTTTGCCGTTGTGCTTGACCGCTGAATGACATAGAGCAATGAGCTTTATACGAAAACTTTGATCTGTGAAAACTTACGTCTCTGCTCAATAGCCTTCTTAGCAGCAAGCTTTCTCACGGACGCAGTCACCTTTCTCTGAGGTGCAGTTCCTAAGAGTTGCGAACGCGTTTCAATTTACATAATCGGCGTATGAACCATAGCTGGACACGAGCCTTTCGTTGCAGATGACCTGACGCTGGACGTTGTGGAAGATTTGGTTGAAGGTTTCTTTGTCGCGGTCGCGAACGCTGATATGAATCCTATGAACATTAGGCGATCCAATGATATCTATCATGACCTACATGCCCTGAGCCCATTATCAAGAATGAATTGAGCATTTGGCAAGGCCGTGGGTGGAAATGGAGGGACGAATCGGGCCTTTACTGCATGAGTTGCTACGCGCTTTACAAGTGTCCGGGCTAGGACGAACGGGAACATTGTCGGTTGGTGTCACAAATGTCGGATGCAAACTTGAACTACCCCTCCCATGGAATCTTTACCTACTTCACAACTCGAGTCCATACGCTTTAAACTCAATCAAACAATAGAGTCGATCAGAACGCTTCAGTACTCGATCCATGCGGACAACCAACCCTATATGCTACCATGGTGAGGCCACATCCAAGCATGAGGGTTTTATTGGCGATGAAAGACAACCGCAGGCCTGAACTGCTCTCCAAATACAATGTCATCCTTACCCAAACACATTCCTTAATGCTATCTGTATCTCAGGCTGCTACGACGAATCCAGCCACTGGCCGAAAAATGAAGAACCCACTGCCTTCACTTGCTGTGCACCCTGTTCAGCCTATATCTGAGGGCCAAATGGACAACGCACTCAGTTCCCTTCTTCGTATGATGCGCCTTCCCGAAGTTTTAGAATCAGATGAAAAAACGGTGGCTGCGATGGGTGGATCAAATCGCGTCGAACCGAAAACTGACCAGCAGGTCATTGCCAACATGGACACGATACGGAAAGAACACGACTACCGCGTGGAAAGAGCTAACATGGCTGTCCGTATGCTAGCGGAGAAGTACAACTGGAAGAGACGTGTCGGTGACGGGACGATCAACGAGGAGCTGAACGAGGCTGCCTACGTCGTTGCTGTTGCTGAATCTGAAGCCGAAGCTCAGGAAGGTGATGATGCCTCTGGGGCAATGTTCGAGAGTGATGACGAGGACCAGGAAAGTGAGATGGAGCAGGTGGGGACATATTTGGCCACTTCACCACTTAGTCCAAACCAGCATCAGCAGCTGGCTCAGGCAGCTCAAACTCGACCAAGTCAGGCACCAGTAGTCCAAGCGCCTTCCCAGCCACCCTTGGTGATTATTAGTGATGATGAAGGGGATTTGGAGATGTTGGATGGGACAAATGGCTTGGTTTAACGGAAACTTCATTGAGGTCGATCATTATTTCCCATATATATATAGGCTAATACTTGAAGCGCTGTGCGTAATTCCCCGCAATGGGCTTGAATCATCTACGGGTTGTAGACACTTTCGTCCATTGGGGATTCCCACGCTCTGGAATTGACCGCCTGCTCAAACTGCTGCCGACCGCTTGTCACACAGTTTGGTCCCTCATGTCGGATCTTACAGAGGCCCAGCAGGCAGCCCTTGACCATCTTCGTCAAATAACGAATGGTGAGGATCCTGAGCGTGAACTTGCTGTTCTGGAGAGCGTCGGATGGAACGTGGAGGTGCGTATCTGGCACATGGATGCGACAATGTCCCCGTCAGCTGACTCCGAATGACGTTGCTTAGAAAGCCGCGCAGGCTTTCTTCGACGACGATCTGCCTCAAGCAGGTCCTTCGATGTCCCCCGTGCAACCTGTATCTATAGACGACTCCGCGCAGTCGATTCCTTATTCAAACTCTGCACCAGCACGAAACACCAGACCCGTGTACCCGAGGACACACCAAACAGGGCTGAATCTCGCCAATGTTGTTGCTTTCCCATTTACCCTCATTACCAACATACTTCAATTCATCTTTAGAATAATACGTTTTCCCCTCGTAGGAATATTTCCTTACTTATTTCGACCTAACGGCCCAGCTCTCCGCGGCTCCCGGGGGCCTCGTGGTGGGCGTGGTATGCTCGCTGAAAACCCAGCAGCTGCCGCTGACAGGTTTGTTCGCGAACTTGAGGATGAGACAGGTGCGATGACGATAAGCCACGCCAATGCAGCCGAGGCGGGAGCAGCAGAAAATGTCGCTGGCTCCTCAACACTAGCTGGTAAAGCTGCAGCTGCTGGAAGGCTGTTACCCGACTTTTTCATTGGCTCGTACGAAGAAGCACTGAGGACCGCAGAAAGGGAACTTCGAGTCCTATGCGCCATCATCTTGAGTAGCGAGCATGATGACATCCCAGAGTTCAGAAGGTACAGACACCTACTTTCCCGGCTACATTGTGTGTTAACTCCCATGGGCAACAGGATGGTCCTTACGGACGCAGATTTCATTAAAACACTTGCAGACAATAATTTTGTCGTCTGGGGAGGTGATATACGTGATAGAGATGCGTATCAAGGTGAGGGAATTTTGATTCTGATGGTATATATTGATACAACACCCCTCCAGCCTCCATCAAACTTGGCGCTACAACTTACCCGTTCGTAGGCTTTGTCTCCCTCCACCCCACTCCGGCTCATGTGGGTGGTTCGACTCCGTCAGGGTCGGGCCCGCGTCTCACTGTCCTCTCCCGCCACGAAGGTCCACCTTCTACCACGACATCAGCTCAGACCCTTCAAGCACATATTACCACTGCCCTCCTTCCCCGTGTTACCCCTCTTCTTTCACGTCTCCGCACAGAGCGTTGGAATCGAGAACAAGAACGCAAACTGCGTGAAGAACAGGATCGTGCATTTGCTGAATCTGCCGCCCGTGATAGAGAGCGCGTGAAGCAAAAGCGAGAGGCAGAACGGAAGGCCGCGGAGGAAAAACAAGCCCGTTTAGAGGCAGAGAAGGAGAAAGCAAGCAATGAGGAGAAGCTTCTGTTATGGAGGAGGTATGCCAGAAAGCATCTCATCCCACCCGAGCCGCCATCAGGCGGTATCCGTATTGGTGTGCGCTTACCTGATGGCCGGCGCGGAGTAAGGATGTTCTCCCCTACGGATGATGTGACGGCTGTCTACACGTTTGCGGAGTCCCTGCTTGTACCCGCGAGCGAACCTAGAGACTCGGACCCCGACCAACCACCCACTGGCTATACTCATGATTGGAAACTCAAACTCGTCACGTCATTTCCTCGAAAAGAAATACCACAGCGTGAGAAGGTTCTTGGCTCAATCGATGACTTGAAGGAGGGTGCGAATCTCGTAGTTGAGGTGATACGGACTTACGGAGGCATAGGCACAGATGACCACGATGAGGATGAGGAATAGGTCAACAGTCATGTAAATATGTTGCACACAGTTTGCCATGCATATCATAATACGCGAGCCCTCATTCATCTTTGCCCGGCCGAGCGTGGGGAATGCAGGGAAGGGCCCCCTGTGGGATAAACGTGAGATCGTACATGCGAGTCTATCACCATCTCCCAATCGTCCTATACCCACGAAGTCCTCGAACGGGCTGGGATGGTCGACTGCAATGTCGAAGATCTACCCATGTCGCCCAAGAGGAAGCTTTCCCCATTCCCCGGTCCCCGTCCAAATTATCCATATCTCACTATGGTTGGTTCACTCATGTGGCTGGCTATCAACACCCGACCCGACATCGTGTTCGCCACTCAACATCTTGCCCAGTTTAATGCATCGTATGGACCTGACCACATCAGCACTGTCAAACGCCTCCTGCGGTACTTGAAAGGCACTACCAATCATGGTATCACCTATGCAAAGTCTAACTCTGGACTTGTTGCTGAAGGTTTCGCTGATGCCGATCACGCAGAAGATTTGACCGCTTTTCCATCACGGGTGCCGTGTTTGTTATGTCTGGTGGACCGATTGCGTGGACGTCGAAGAAGCAGGGCACTATCGCCCTTTCTACGTTGGAGGCCGAATATGCTGCTATCAGCCACGCTGTTCGGCACATACTTTGGCATAATATGCTTATGGCGGAACTAGGTTTTAAGGCCCCACATCCATTCAGGCTCAACAGCGATAATCGAGGCGCGACCCTCAGTTCCATGGCCGCGTGCAGTAAGCATATCGATATCTGTCATCATTTTATTCGCGACCACGTCGAACGTGAAAATATTTCTATTTTTCACATCCGATCTGAAGATAACTTAGCTGATATTTTTACTAAACCGCTTCCAAACCCCATTTTCACCAAATTCGTTTCTTCACTAACGGACGACGTCATGACTTGAGGGGGAGTGTTGGTTGAGCAAGACATGATGACGCGCCGGTATGCATGTCATGCCCATATCGGTTAGCCGATATGATACCCCTTCCCCATGTGCTGCGTGTCTCACTGTTGACTGCGTTCCATATGTAGCGCTTGCGCGTATCTCATTCCCTTATTATTCTTGTCTGATATCTGTTATTACCTTAACTACTTATACCGCTGTGCGGTTACAATATCAGTGTGTCGTTGTTCCCCGAGTCCCTGCTGAGAGCTACATAACAACACAGTTGCTGACGCTGGGCGCCGCCTGACGCGGCAGAACCCACCATTTTACTTTTGAGTTCCCAGCTATAACGTGCACAGGGAGTGCTGTGAACACTCGCTCAATCAGGCTGGGATTGGAAACATTGGAGGAGGATCAATAGAATGACCAGTGGACAAAAAAAAACATCATCGCGCAAATGGACATGCAATCCAACTTTTCGCGCAATCAGGGCCTCTTTGATGATAGTCAACTCAGCAAGGTTCCAGAATGGGTCTGAAATATTAATCGTTAGCTATGGCCATTTTAGGAATATGACAACGTTCTAAAGAACGAAGACATTTGCAGCAAATACGAAGCATGACATTGGAGGAAGACGTATCGACGACGTGGCTCCTTCGTGACACAACATAATATTTTGTAACCAGGGGAGGTGCGGTTAGGGGACATTGGCCTTGGAGTAAATGTATATCATAAGACAAGAGACGAACAGGTTTGGAAAGCGTGTCAAACGCTGCTAAGGATCTTCAGATGGAGAAGTAGAGGTAGAGATTTCAGAAGTAAGACGGAGCAATGCAGACTCGGAACTTTGAATGGTGATCTTTCGATCCGGATAATAGGTTGGAAACAGAGGAGGGGAATGCCGGATGTCATCTTCGTCCGGATCAGAACTATCATCAGAGCATGAAATGCGCAAAGCATGGCAGATCAATTTCCGATATTGAATCGGACATGCAGACGAGAGCCCATGGGAGGATTGTAACAATCACTGAACAGAATATGTGCATCACGAACATGGATTGGAGGCAATAATTGTCAGAAAACGAATTCAGTCCCGGGCAAAAATTTGCAGGACCGGGAATTGTGTTTCAATATTATTACAACCCACTGTACAGTACAATGCCCAATTGGCCAATTGGGGTCTATATATTGTTTGTTTACCATAGAAGCTGGAGTCATGCCTACAATTGGGGCTCATATATATTCCGTTACTGCGCTGCCACCCTCTTTGTATGCAGCGCATATTACTTCGGCGTTTTCTCCCTGGCCGCCCCCAAAGATGCTATGAGGACGCTCCCTGAGTTGCTAAAAATGCACATTTCAGCGTCTCTCACAACAATCACAAAGCCAATTTGGTTAATATCTAGCAAGTATAATGGTATCATACAGTGGAATGTTATGCAAAAAGAACGGAGGAAAATTGCTAGTGTAAGCAGATGGCTGTAGCGGAAATATTGATCTTTGCCGCTTAGTTAGCCCCAAAAGCCCCCCATATATTGGAGCCTGTCAGGAGGGCAGGTTCGAGAGGCGGTCCCTCTGGTCCCTCGCTGTATGTATCAATATCACTATCGAACATGCTCCGGCAGCAAGCTTGGTTATTCAGCTTGAGGGGAACCCCATAGCCTGGCGCAGTTACTATAGAAGCTGATTGTGACGGACATTGATGGATGAACAAGTACATTGAATGTCGCCATCAAGATAGTACGTGCGAGAATACACACGAGGGATAGCTTCCAATTAATTGGAGACTGCAGCATTATTCGAGTAACCTTTTTCCTTTTCGCGTATAGATGTCCCAGCGGCCGCGGCTGGGTTGTCTGAATTAGGGGATCCGCCGCATAACCGATGTGTAGGTCTTTGTTGCGGGCAACAAGGATTGGCGGCGCGTGAAGATTCTGGAGGTACTGATGTCGAGCAATCTTAAATACAGCATGGCGGGTTGCATGTGTCTGCCTCTCCCCCTTCTTGCAAATAGTGTCATGGACAGTCATTCAACTTGGAAGGCTTTTCCTTATACACTTCTGCCAGGTCCAACGTTGCCAGCGTCAGTGAAACCCATGGTAGCAAATAACAAACGAAGATATCTGAGGGTCGGGTGTCTACTCCTCATCGCGTGCATCTTGTTTCTTTCTGCCTTCGGCTGGCAAGCCAGGCATAGGATGATCGTTGATCCCCTCCCTGAAACAACCCCTTACGAACTTGAAAACTATGACACGGGACCTTTGCCTTCTATTGACGCGGTGCCAGAAGTGCTCAAATTACTACGAGCTCCTCGGCGTCATCCATTTCAAAACCTGACTAGAGTTGCGGAGATCCAGCGGAAAGCTTGGGCTCTTACCCCGTTCTCGCGAGCAACCTGCCAGTTTCAGGAATGGCACGAAATGAGATATGCATCGCTCAGAAACTCAGGCAAGAATGTCTTCCTTGCGATGAATCTCCATAACAATGCGCAAACATTTCCAACAATCATCTCGCAAATGCCCGAAGTCTTAAAGTTCCTGACACCTTCAAGTATTCATGTGTCTATATACGAGAATGGAAGTGAAGATGCCACCCAACAATTCCTAGTCCTTCGTAAGTTGATCATTCCTCCGCAGACTGAATCAACAATAAAGACACTGCCAGTCGCGGATATCCTGGACAACTTGGGGACCTCCTACACGATCATTTCGGAGGGGAAGAATTTTACATTTGATAAGGGCTTCAACCATCGGATCGAGGCACTTGCAATCGCTAGGAATCTGGCCCTTGCACCTCTATACTCTGGAGCCATTGAAAAGGCGATGCCGGGCAGAAAATTTGACGAAGTGCTGTTTATGAATGATATCATCTACTGCGCCGCAGATGTCTTGGAAGTTCTTTACCAGCGGCGGGAGCAAGGCGCTTATGAGTCTTGCTCTGTAGACTGGGATTGGGGTGGACGAATAGTGTATGACAGATGGGTGCTGCGGGCGATGTCCGGAGAGTAAGCTGCTTGGAAAATTTCATTTGAAAAGTCTATATGTCACTGAAGTATGTTGTGCATGCTAGCCCGTGGTACGAGCACGACGGCCTCGTCAAATACTTCAGAGACCCTAGAAGTCTTGATGAGAAGATTGCACCAACACCGTTGCCTGACAGAACGGAAGATCGTCATAGATTCGAAAACTTGATGCCACTACAAGTTTTCGCCTGCTGGAACGGGATGGCTGCTTTCGACTCTAGTGTCTTCATTGAACACGACATTCGCTTTAGAATGGGACTGAGTGACCACCACGAGAACGGAGAGATCAAGCAGCCAACGGATATTGTGTCTGAGTGTTATTTAACGAGCGTCGATATGTGGAAGAAGGGAATAGGAAAAATATTATTGGCATCTCGTGCTCGGTGAGTTTCCCCTTTGGGCACTAAAGCTAAGACTAACGGACAGTGGCACCAGCGTCGCCTATTCCGTGGAGAACTATGACACTTATCGAACAGACCAGCGGATTGGGAAACCTGGGGCGAAGAACCTGGAGAAATTAGCAGAGGAAGAACGGATAGAATGGCAGTCACAACCCCCCGCAAAGGTCGCGATGCATGACTTTACATGGTGGGAAATGCCGGAGAGATGGGCCCCATGGGATGAGCCTTGACTGTATACATCACCCAATGATACTAGGAGATGTTGGCTAGGCGATGCCAGACACCGACAGCGATGGAAAAGAACGTGTCAAACCAGTCACTTATGTTGTAATAGCCACCCTCACTGAACTTGTAATCACAAGACCTAGGGACTCTGCATTGGAAATATTTGAGTGGACGAGAAGAATATTTCGTACGATTTGGGACTCACCCACGAATACTTAATATAAAACTTTGGGTACTGCTTACGCTGTGTAGAGATATAGTTGTCGGAACACGTCTCCTGCAGTTAGGCTATTTTCCACCTCTCAACCCTGGGTTTTTTCGCCAGAAAATTGCCTCCCAGTATTCCCTGCACCCGAATGCACTTTACTCTCAGCAAGAAATTCCTTGTTGAGCGCACAGGTACGTTCCTCGCGGGGGGACATTCCAGAATGAAACTTGGCCAGGTCAAGCAAATCTGTATGGCTGGATGTGAAGCGAGTTGTTAGGCCATCAACCCCCGACAGTTGGGCCTCCAGATCGGGGAAATGCCGAACGCCGTCTGCACCCAGTGTCTGAGACTGAGACGCGGGATGGAGCCGCTAGTTTAGGGGCTATGTTTAGCGGTATCAGGCTAGGACAATCGCTTGAAGCATAATACTGTCTCTCAAGATTGATTCAGCACGGTTCCGTTCCTTTCGCGAGCATTGGTCTCCATTTGAGTGGGCCCCTGTGTGTCGGACTTATCGTGAAACTTGAACTCCGCTTGTCATACCTGGTGCTGAAGTCTCATTAGTGCTTCTCAGCTTTCGTAGCTCAGCAGACAGCATCGTAAGGAAGGTACGATCCTGGGATGCGTGATCTCGAGGATCATTGGGATGCCGTCGTTTCTTTTCTCTATGCTTAAGTGAGCACATCAGTTGATCATGGAACCCAGTGCGTTGACTAAAGGGGTGCTGAGAGGCAAAACGGATTCAATGGTCTGGTTGCCGTGGATTTCACAATGGGAGGAGAAACGCCTGGGGCTATGTCGCTGATGCCCCAATCGCTATCGCTTGAACAAGAATTGAAGTAAAGGATTGATTAAATCCGTTCTTCCGCCTGAGCAATCAACATAGTGTCAAGTGAGAGTTGCCGTACCAGCATGGCGACTCATAGTGAGAAGCCCACGCTACACTTACAGTACTAACTGTACAAATGCAGAAGGCGAAATACGAATTCACTGAAACTCAGGACTGGTTCAACGATCATGGAAATCATTGATCCACCAGGTCACCGCATCCACGCACAGAGCTCTCGAGATAGGATCTTGGGAAGGCAGATCATTCGTGGGTTGGGTTGGGGGGGACGGCCATATCACCTGTATTAACCAATTTGATCTCCAACGGGACCATTTCAGTCCCCTGCACTTAACAAGTTGCATCCACGGGGCTTCGTTTAGATCTACATTGATGAACCGCATGAAGCAGATGACATGTCACTTGATGGAGAATTAGGCCGGCGTATAGCCCAGAAGAATGCCATCGTCATGTTCGATGATTACGACCGGAAAACGCAACCGGCGGAGAGTTGTCACCATCCCCGACGAGGAATCGATGCATTTATGGCAGTGCATGAAGGGGAATATGAAGCCCTTCACTCGGGTTACCAAAGCAAGACGGAATCGGCCTTTTGCCCAAGGACGCCAACAGTCAAGCTGGAAAGAATTTGTGTACAGCATCAACTTGGTGATAACGAATATGCAATACTCGTAACTGTCACTCTTCATACAGCCGTTGCAGATGACACCTTAGGTTAGGTGTCCGGACACGCGGCGTCCGGATGGGTGCTTAGCGCCTCTGGCCCTACGCACCATTGCTACCGTCGCTCAGGAGGCAATCTCCAACAGCATCAAGGCCTAGTGGGCTGCCCGATTAACCCTCTTCATCCGGGACTTCGGTCCTCAAACTTAGGTGATTGCGACTCGAGGAATGTGGATACCGGCGACTGCAAGAAGAGATGGTAAAAGGTGGATGGATGGGACACCGGCAGATAGCGGTCGGAGAGCTGGCAAGATACATCGCGCAGCCTTGTACTGATTATGTACAGTGCAACCCATTGCTCCGCCATATGCCGACCGGTACAGAATGGTCGAACGAAGCTTCGAACATCGGTTCCTTCGCGTGATGAGGTGACCCTTCGCTTCATTTAGCTCCCAAAGAATAATTTATCTGGCGCCCATGTCCTAGTCCCTGAAAATGTCTCGGGTCTGTGAAATTTCAACCTCCAGGGAGCGAATCTAGGTGCTGTTCGGGATGTTGGAATTCCGGCTCCGGATGAATCTCCCTACTTCAGCTCGGGCACTCTTGATGACCCTGGAAAATATTCGAGACCGGAAAGTGCTACTTCGCATGGGTCATAGCCTGAAAGATTCACCAGTGCATCAGCAAGGATTCTGAATAAGCACTTCAAGTCAAAGTGGCGGGCGCTTGACTTCCGTTGGAGCGCGCAGGGCCTTGGGACGCATGCCAATATGTCGTCTGTAGAACGGCATGGCTTGGGTTTTTAACGCATGAAGAAAGAGCTGCACACAATCCATTTTAATAGACCGTTCCATCCTAGTATTGCTGATCCCTGAGTACAACCATACATTAGGGGTACGCTACACCCTTTTGTAGTTGGGTTGTGGGAAGCACTTTCAAAAACTGAAGAGTATCGTGAGCGGGTTCAGAGAGGAAAGCAAGTTGGCAGCAGAAGATCGAAGAAACTATTGCCGAGTTGAACGAGACTCTTGACGAGCAGGGACTCCAGAGAGCATATTGTGAACTACTTTCTTTCATACGATATGCCAACTAAGTCGAGCAAGAGCGACAAGTAATACATGTATCACCCGTGCAGAAGATCGGTTCTTGAGGTTAGCCGAGGGAGCACTGTGATCTCGTAACGAGCTTTGATGACACCATTGCACCGAAAACCATGGCAGAGGCCCATCGAACGGAAGTCCCTGCAACAAAGGAGTTGGTTATGCGCTCAGGCGAGCGTGAGGATGAGGAGTTCCCGATACGAGTACACAGAGGTAAATTATTCGATTTGAATATGCCACGATCTCCAGGGGCCCTTTCCGGCTCGCGTCAAATGTCTATCAAGTGACGTTGCTGGGCTGCTCGCTCATCGGAAGCCCTGGCTGTGGGGGATTCGATTGTTCCGCATGTGCAACGCGGTTCTGTGTCAAAGTTGTTTTAAGGGAGTTTTCCCTTTGAGGGTGACAGGACCACAAGCCCACACATAAACGAGGCCGCCAATATGCGCCGTTTCTGTGACATGTCACCACCATCCTTGAACAGTCTAGATTTAGATAGCCAATTCCTCCATGCGTCATATAAGCCATCGTGAATCGCGTCAGAGTCCAAACAGATTGCCTAAATGCAGGAGCACTAGAGACGCCAGACCAGGCCCCCATAGTGCGAAACGGTACGGCTGGGTAGAAGAATGCTGTACGGAAAGGCCGTCCCGAGATGCGTTTGACAGTGGACTCACATAGTCAAGCCAAAACCACAGTACAGCGTCAGCTAGCGAGTAACGTATTAACGATTCAGCGCAACCGCAGCAGACAGAACCCTGTTTGCCGCGATTTGGAATTTTTGTAATTTACATACTGGTTCCTTTCAATTCAGTCAGAACGAGCTCCTTCAAGTTCGGGTGTTGAGGCCGAGACCGCACAGCATTGGCCCAGCAGCCTCAGAATACCCAGACAAGTTGCCTATGTCAGTGTTGACGACCAGTGAGCACACGTAGTATAGTAGTCGACGTGGTGACGTGAGACTATTCAAACCGTGCAAATGGTGGTGGAGCGGTGGGTGGCGTCGCGTAATTCAATCCACTATCACTCTTTTGCACATCACTCCTCACTAAGTCCTTCCTCTTTGTAGCCATTTTCCTCTGGGACGAGCCAGATCACGACCATATCTTCATTCCCCTGCCGCCTTCCTGGTTACCTGACAGGGCACTGACAACATGTTGCTCATTTTCCTTGGTGATCTCCGCTCTTGCCTCACCAATCTTTCATTTGCGTAGGCCCACTATCGGGAATGCACAAACAGCGTCAGTGGCAACGTTTACCACCGCGCTAGTAACTAATCTCGGTATGTTGAATTTGGGATTTGAAAAGGTTCCAGGGCTGACTTCCATTTCCCTATCACTTGTCCTACCTGTAGCGGTATTTTTGGCAGAAATCGTCGCCTTCACAGTGTTGAGGGCGAAATTCAAAACCATATATGAACCACGGACGTTCATTCCGCCTCTCTCGTGCGCTGATTCCCATTAGCTACTATCTGCCTTTCGTGCTAAGCTCAAACTCCTTACTTTCCACAGGAAACGTGCGCCACCTCTCCCGCCTGGTTTCCTTTCATGGCCAATAGCAATCTACAACTTGGATCCTGACGACATTCGGCGTCAGAATGGCCTAGATGCCTATGTCTTCGTGCACTTTTTGAGAATGATGGTCAAGATGCTCCTCCCCATCTGGTTCCTCAGTTGGACGATTCTTTTACCTATCAATTCTGTTCGGCACGAAGGCCTGACTGGACTCGATCGATTCACCTTCGGAAATATATCTAGAACTGACCAGTCTCGTTATGCTGCTCACTTGACACTCGCGTACGTCTTCACGTTTTGGATACTATACGTCCTCAAGAAGGAAATGAGGCACTTCATCACCGTACGTCAACGGCACTTGATTGATCCTGGGCATCGGGCCACTCCCCAAGCTAAAACCATGTTGATGACCGGTGTCCCCCCAAGTATCTCCACCCGCTTGCTATCCGAAGTGTGTTCTCTCTTCTTCCTGGGGGGGTGGACAAAGTGTGGGTTAACAGGGACCTGAGGGATTTGCCGGATTTGTTTGACGAGAGACTGGACATTATCGCGAAATTGGAGAGTGCAGAGACGACGTTGATGCATATTGCTGCCAAGCTGGAGAGGAAGAGGAGGAAGGGGCTCGCTAAAAGGGGGACGAGTGTCGCCGATCAATCCCCTACGGCGGGTGGGGCCTCTGCACTTTCTCCAGGCAGTCCAAAAGATGCAGAGAAACAGCCCCTCTCTCTGGCTGAGCGTTTCGTACCTGCCAATAAACGTCCTACGCACAGACTAAAACTCTCCTTCCTCCACTGGCTTCCTTTCTCTTTACCATTCTTCGGGGGAGAAAGTGGACACGATTCAATGGTGCCGCGAAGAGAGTTCTCGTTTAAATGCCCTTATTCGTTCGCACCAAGACCGCGTCGCAACCGAATGGCCTCCGAAATGCCACTCGACCATCCACTGAAATGTACCCGCGTCTCAATAGTGCCTTTGTGCTCTTCAACGAACAGATCGCAGCTCATATAGCTTCTCAGGCACTCGTTCATCATGAGCCTTATCGAATGGCTGCGAAGTACACGGAAGTGGCCCCCAAGGATGTCATCTGGAGTAATCTGAATATGAACCCCTACGAGGCGAAGATTCGGACCGGCATCAGCTATACGGCTACCGCTGGGTTGATCCTACTCTGGGCTTTTCCGGTAGCGTTCATTGGGGCTGTGTCGATGTGCATTCGTTGTGTTCGAAGTATAGGTGGTTGACTTGGGTTTGTCATTTTACCGGGTGGTGGGTTGTGAATTTTTATCTTTCTCTTGCCGTTGAGCTGATGTTTTCTGGGGTGGTTGTTGCGGGTAGTTGTGATTGGCATTATTTCGGGCATCATTCCCCCTGTTTTACTTGCATTGCTCATGATGTTACTGCCGATCATCTTACGATGTAAGCTCCCTCCGTTCTCCCGTTGCGACGTCTGTTTAGAGGCCTAACTGGGCGACTTGTTTTCTCGCGTGTTGCAGTGCTCGCTCAATTTGAGGGTATACCCCGCCGAACTGGGCTTGAGTTATCCCTTATGACACGTTTCTTTACATTCCAAGTGATTGTGAGTTTCTCTCCCTGAGAGCAATCGGTATTGGTTCTGAAGAGTAATCTGCATTTGCCCAGCACTCCTTCCTGATTGTGACACTCTCGGCTGGTCTTGTCCAGTCTTTGGCACCCCTTGCGAAGAATCTCGGTTCCGCTCCAACTCTACTTGCGAATAACCTTCCCGGGGCATCCACTTTTTTCTTGACGTGAGTCTCACAACGTCAAAATAGACCTCGAATTAGATTACGAACCTCACGGTAGATATATTTTGCTGCAACTTTCCGGTATAGCCGGAGGTCTCCTTCAACTGGTTCCCCTAATCATTTACTACGTTAAACTCTTCCTTCTTGGAAGCACACCACGATCAGTCTACGCGATCACGCATACACTTCAAGACGTTCAATGGGGGACACTCTTTCCCTCAGTATCGCTCATCGTGGTAATAACGGTGGCATACTCCGTCATCTCACCACTCATCAATGGTCTCGCATGTGCAATCTTCTTCCTGCTGTACCAGACGTGGAAATACCTGTTCTTGTATGTGCTGGATCAGCCTCCTTCGACTGATACGGGCGGATTGTTCTTCCCGAAGGCTATCACGCATGTCTTTGTCGGGTTGTATGTGGAGCAGATCTGCCTTGCTGCTTTGTTCTTCTTGACGCAGGATGCGCGCAGTCATCCAAGCGCTGTACCCGAGGGTGCATTGATGGTCGTGTTGATTGTCATAACGGTGAGCCAGTAGTCCTGTCTCTGCTGGTGTTGCGCTTTGTCTCATGATGGCGCGGTTTTCCCTGCATCCACTTAGGCTGGTTTCATATCATTCTCCTGGATTCATATGCACCGTTATTTAAGGCCCTGCCGCTTACGCTCGCAGCAGACCGTTCGCACCAAGATGAAGTCAACGCTAGAACGAGTGTTGATCCTTCAGTCTCTGACTCCGAGGACCGAGCGGAGGACGAAAGCAGATATTGGTGGGGCAACGACGGGTGTTGACAAACCCAAATACCGACCTC